CAGGAGCAGCAGGCCTAAAGCACCGGGTTTCTGGAGCTTCGGCAAAAACATCCACAGAGCCGGTTTACAGCTGCTACTCACCTCCAACTGATGCACAGCGCTGACACAAATACATATTTTTCTAATCTATTCAGTCAATAGAAACAATTTTTCCTCCAAACATAAAAGTTAATTTTTTTTTTTTTTAGCTCCGAAATAGAAACAAGTTAAATTTATTTTCATTAAGCAGTTTGTCCAAGATGTTCTAGTAACAACATGAATCAGTTGTTTTCCTGGTTGAAAACGTTAATGGACATGAGGCTGATGCAGCACAAAGAGAGAGAGATGGAACAACGTCATTGTTTCAAAAAGATGCGTCTCGCTTGGAACCACCATTCAGAGACGTTTCCTCTCCGGGACCCAGACTCAAAAATGATCATTTCTCCCAAAACGCCAGAACAGCGAAGACTTACGGCCTAAACCACAAAAACCTTCATGGGAACACAAAAGATACGTCTATGTGGAGGGTCTGAGGTAATCTAATAAACTTCAGACTGGATTTACCTTATTGACTTATATTTATTTATATTCTTATTTACACTTTTTGCCAAACTTTTATCCAACGTTTAAAGAAAAGAAAAATCTTCACAACAGTATTCAGCCAACACTTAGTTTCACGTGTCTGAAAGTTCATTTAGAGTTGGACCACCGTGGACCACCGTGGACCACTGTGGACCACCGTGGACCACCGTGGACCCCGGCATTCATGGAGCTGTTTCTAACCATTCACAAACAGATTGAGCTCCCATCTAAAAGTGGTAATAAGCGCCTATTTTAGTAGTTCAGGAAGTAAATATTCTGATTATGACAGCAGAAGCTAATATCTTCATTATTTCTGCTCTAAAGCGGCGCTCCGGATGGCTCTCCATTGGCTTTTCAAGCTATTGCAACTAGAGTATTTTGTATTAACCTGCAATTTCTTTATGCACATATAATATTTAGAAATGTTCTATGAAAACAATCACAAATAGGCAAATTTTCTGCAAATAGTTTGGAGTTATTCTACCTGAATTTTGTGGTGTTATTCTACTGGATAGGGTCAGTGTCTACTTTTCTGTGGATTGGCATGAATTTATTACATTTAGCATATTAGCTTTCATGACAACTCGGTGAGTTTTCAAGCAGAATGAGCTTAGATGCCGAGTGCATTGAGAAAATGGTCAGAAATAATGCAGAATTTTGTCATCTATTATCCATATTTTCTATTTCAGAAGTTGGGCTGTAAACTGTTAAACTCATTTTGTTATTTCAAGGCTGTCAGGTTCTGTTGAAATTTGACCACCAACCACATTAAATACGTCTGGCATGCTTGGGTGGGTAAAGCATGCAGGCACAGTGTTAACCAATCAGACGTTGGTCTGGTTTTATGGATCAAAGTTTAAAAAAACTTTTAAACTTTTCTTCTAAAAACTGTTTAGAAAAAAACATCTGTTTAGAAGAAAGCGTTCCTGACAACGTGGTTAATATTTTACATTCAGTAACATGAACTTTGCCAGTGCCCAGACTTCATGTTTCTGTCAACTGAACGTCCAAACATTCAAACTCGCTTCATTTTTGAAGCGTTTAAACTTTTTAAAGTCAGTTAATTTGTTGCTGAAGCAGTCTTTGCAGCTGCTGTTAAAGCACAGGACGGAGCTGACTGAACTTTCCTGGCGTTTTCGGCTCACACAGAGAATCCCTGCAGACTGCAGCCGGGAGTTTCCTGCAGAGCGCTGTGGAGATAAGCTGTTATTTTCATTGAAAAGTTCAAGAAATCTCATGAGAGAAATTCACAAAAAAATTTTTTACTGTAAATATTGAAGTCAAGAGAATTATTATAGTTGACTAAAAAAAGTTATTTTTCAAGATGCGTAGCGGTGTGTATATGTTTCTAAATTAAAGCAAGTTGTGCAAAATACACTGAAAAGATTTTAAAAGCATCTGGTGAAAGAATTTTTGCATACTAAATCTCATATTCAGATAATTTTACCTATTTAAATGTCATAAAACATCTTTATTTGAGGACATTTTACTGTTGCAACAAAACATAAATGTCGCTAAAACACAAAAAGTGTAAACACCTCTGGAGTGAGCAGCTCTGCTAACCTCTCCCATATTTTCTTGAATAAAATAAATCATTCCCAGACTCAAATCCTTATTTTCCGTGTTGTTTTTCATTTCATCACCCGGCGCTCGCCCTCCCTCGCGTGGTGTGCCGTTCAGCGAGTGTCAAGAAGTAAGATATGATTGTATCTTCAGATATTGATCCCCGTCCCAATGTGCTTCATTGCCTCATATTGATTTCTCACGCTGGCGCTGGGGGCCTGAAATTGGTCTGTGCAGTGAATTTCACCTGTGCAGTGTTTTTATTTGTCGTGAAAACATTCATGCACTGCTCACCCATGTCAATGCTCCCTCTCTGCTGGTCAATTGACTGCCATCTTGTGATGTGTTCAGCGTTATGTTCAACTCACAGAATATCTGTTTAACTACATCTAATGACCTCTGTTTGCTAAGTGTAAAGGAAAATGTAATTTCAGCTTTGTGATTATTTGAGTTGACATTTTCCTTCAGCCGATATGAAGCATTTAGTTTAATGTTAGAGCTGTGAGCAGTAATTATTGCTCAGCACTGGTTCTAATTTCCTCCAAGACAGGGAGGATGAAAAACGTTCAGTAATTAAAAAACAAATTGATTCAAATATCTCTGGTTGAAAATATTTATCAATTATCTGTATCATACAAATGGTAAAGATAAAATCACAAATGCTTTTTTGCTCCAAAGCTAAACAAATGGGATTTGATTCTTTGTGAGTGGATGAGGAGAAGCGAAGCATGTAATTGAACTAAAAACACGAGTCAGCTCAGGGACTCCAGCTCCAGGCAGTCAGCGCGGCTGCTTTGTGCCGCTCCCCTGTTGATGACATAAATTTATTTTGAAACAGAATTATATGGCAATTTTCAGGTCATAATTTGTCTGATTTGAAGCTGAGTTCTGGCTGTAATTCTGACACTGTAAAAACCTCTCATTTGCTGTTTAAGGGAATATTAGTGAATGTTGTAATTTCAAACAGGCTGGAATCTTTTACATCAAATATTCAGCTGTCATTTAATACTTCTGCGCTTGCTTTTTGTACATGAAAAGATCCTTCATTCTGACTTATATAAACACATTAAAATATTTAAGCACCATAATAAAACTATTATCTAAAATGTCGGTGTCACTCAGTCTGTCCCCTAATTGTGGTGAAACTTGGCTTCAGCAGCCTGTAATCCTGCCTGACAGTGGCAGGGCCGTCATGCAGATTATGTGTTTTCACCACTGCAGATAACAGCCATTATTCCAAGGAACACCCATCTAAACAACATGACTCAGCTCAGTCTAATGAACTCACTAATTTAATATGCCACTGTGCTTTGGTGGCAATAGATTCAAAATCTAATCTGGGCCAAAACTGATTAGGCCTATTAAGTGGTAATGGAGCGCGGGGCACTTAGCATGCTTGGAGGTTAAGCACCTCTATCTAAGGCGTGGCTGCTCTTTTGTTGTCCTGCTGTTAAGCTGATTGCACGGCTGAGACCAGCTGCCTGCTTGTGTGGTCTTTGGTTTTTGGTCTTGAAATCTGCTCATCTGGAACTTAGAGATTTTCTCAGGGAAAAGTGAAAACTCACTGAATTCTCAGAAATACCAAATCAAATGATTCTTATTTTCACTACATTTGTTGCTCAGTATATTTGTTTAAATTCTCAGTGTATCTAAACACCTGCAGCTACAGATTAATCCAGCTGAAGTCTAGAAAAAGCTAAACAAATGTTTAAAGACAACAAAATGCACATTTCTTAATTAAGAATATGTTTGTTGTACAAATCAATTCCCAAATATCTCCATCTTAATCAAATGTCATAAAATGACTATGTGCTGAAACAAAATCTTTGCAACAGGCTATTGTGTGGAACATAAATAGTGGTATAAGCTTAGAGCATCTTTTGAAGTGTGAGTGATCTGCAGAGCAGCACCAGCAGAAGACATTCCTCACCAGGATCTCCGCTCCCAGCCAGCGCAGGCTTCTTTGCCACGGCACGTTTTCCTGTTGCTCGCTGAGGGCCTTGACACTTTTCTGGCACGCCTGAGCGATGGATCACAGGGCGTAAAAAAAGACAACGTCCTGCAGCGTTGAAAATTTATGGCCTCACTCACCCATATGTTAAATCTGGGGAGATGGGGCCCGCTCTGAAGGCGACAATCAAATACATCTCAATTAGAGCTGCTTGCTCCTGTAATACCTGCTTTAATTTGATGGGTTGAAGACAAATGATCCAAGGGGTGATATGAAAGATTATTTCAAAGCTTTTGACATTAAGCTTAAGTTATTTTTGGTTCTCTTCATAATGTAATTTTTTTTATTCTATTTTTGGAGGGATATTTTTATTTTTTAGGAAAATGCTATTTTTAATCAGGTCGTAAATGTACTGGGTTTAATTAAAAGCTTTAAGAAAAAGTCTTTAAGCAGATCTTTCAACTGCACGTTGAAAGATAAACGTGCAGAACAAAACCGTTAATCAGTCAGGAATAAATGCTATATGTATCTTTTTTTTTTTTTAAATCACTTTCCTGGTTATTATTTAAATATGTTGTTAATTTATTTTTTAATTCTTATAGAAATGTATCGTTATGAAGCGAATAAAAAGACTTGAGCTGCACAAAAAGCGACGGCGACGGTCAGGTATCTAAAGCGGGGATCAGACGCCATCTACTGGTGACTCTGGCTATTTCATTTCTGCACAAGGTGCTAAAAACCATGTGGAATACAAAGAATGCAACAGTGAAACTAAAAGAAAGGTACTGAGATACAGAGAAATGTATGTTATTGTATGTATATGTAATAGCATGTAACAATAAATATGTATTTATTGTGAAACTAAAGTGACTAAATAACCTGAAATCATTCATTTTCCAGTTGATAAAGCTCCACTCAGGGCTGGATCAGCTGCCGTTTCAGTGCAGACTCCTGACAGCAGCTGCCACCATCCTGTTGGTGACTCCAGCATGTGACCCTGCAGCCCATCTCACCAGATGGACTCTTCTCCAGCCCGCCTGCCTCTTCGCTCGTTTCCCTGCGTCTCCGGGCTGCAGCAGCTGAGCCGCACCGGGCCGGGCCGGGCCGGGCCGGGCCAGACCTGGACTCAAATTATGTGTGAGTTTGCTTTGGATTTGTTTGACAAAACAAGATTCACATCCTATAAAACTTATAACTATAAGTGTTCTGGTATGTAAGGAATATTTATTTGCTAATAATTCTTTCAAGCTTTTTTGAAACTTATTTGCAAGTCAGAAATCAGATGGTCCTCCCTTTAGATAAAATTACTTTTGAATCCCATAATTTGTCTTAAACCTCAATTCCAATCATGTTTGATTTAATAAAACATGTAAAATGTGGTGTTGAAATAAACAGCTCGATGATGCAGGAGAAAGATTAATGTGCAGGTATGGAGACCCATTGGTGGGTTATTTTTACAGATGCCATTTCCCGTGACCCGGCTCTGTAAGACGACTCTGCCTCTCAGCAACCAGGTGGGAGTCTTCCCTCCTCAGGACCAAGCCTTCGATGTGGAGGATCTCCTTCCAGTTGTGTTTTTATCGTTCCTGGACTTAAGCGTAGGCCACTTAACTATCTAAGCTTTCGTAGTGATCATCCCATTTATCTGGGATTATTGCAGTGAATTTACTGTTTGGTCTTCTTCCAGGCCTAAAATGTCAAGTCCAAAGTCATGTATGCAGTAGCTTTATTCGGTAAGACCTTCGCAGATCCGTCCAAAGCTGGTAGCAGTTGATCTTTGGATAGAGCATGAAATAAATAAATCCTCTTTAGCAGATCAATATTCATCCTATTTAATGCTGGATGTGAAACTGCTGGATTTAAGGTGGTAATGCTGATGTACAGCTAATCGTTGGAAAATAAGCAGCGGGGCTTTGTGATTCTCCAGCAGATAGTTTAAACAGGAAGACGGATGAGTAAATGCCGATTGTCTGGGCAGAGAAAAACCTGATGGCGGCCGCTTGTAATTTATAGCCTCTAATTAATACGCAGAACTTCTCTGCTTGAGTGGGATGTGATGGAGTGACGAGAGTGTTATTCAAGCAGGAAAATGAGCCGGTGACACGTTTCTCGCTGCAGCTTTGCAGAGAAGACATGGAGCCCTAATGATATTAGTCGACACTGCTTGCATAAACAGAGAGACAGGAAGTAAATTGAGACAACAGAGGGATGTGAGCGCTCATTATTATCCTTACTCCCTGTGTGTTTTATTGTATAAAGAAGAAGCAGGAGGACACGACCTCTGGCTGAATCAGAGGGAGGAAACATTTCTTCCTGTGTGTGTAAATCCAGTCTGCAGAAACAGCTCTAAAGTATACCTGTGACAGGCTGTGACAGTCACTCCTGATGAATAGCTTCTGTTAGCTAAGTTTGCATTGCAGGGCCGGTGCTCATAGCATGAATCAAAGTTATTGAGAACTCCACCAATATTATTTATGGGTACGAGCCCCACCCACTCAGACTCCCAGCATTTCTTGATGAAGATTTACGGCACATGCAGCTACGAAGAGCTGAGATCTGATGTCTGCATACCTGCAGGCTTCTAACATTAGCAAGACTGCGGTTCCAACGCTGCTGCAAACACACAGCCGCTACTGTTCATCGCCTGTCTGGACTGTGGAGTCTTTTCTACCAGAAGCAGCATTTCAACAACAAACAGTTGAGGAGAAGAAAGTCACACTGGCACGAAATTACTGCTTTGTTTTATTTCATCATCAACAATGGCTTCCCATTAAACTCCAAAACCTTTTATCAGGCTCAAATCAAAGAGGTTTCATAAAAAGCCTCTTTTCTTCTCTGAGTCATCCGTTCATGAGCCTTAAAAATGTCCAACAGCATAAATCCTTGCTGTGTCCTCAGTGGAACACAGTGATGGGAGATGGGAGAAACTGAAAAGAACATGGCCGCCCCTCAGGATCTGCAGTGATTTGGTAATGAGGGCGACAACCTCCAGGTGATGCACCTGCAGTAAAATCATCTCAAATGATACAATTCCTACTTAATATTTATGCTTTACTTTCCTCATTTTATTGAACATAATAGGTGTTTCATTATTAATGAACATAAAAACAAATTTAAAAACTTTTATTGGTTGCAGTTGCAGATCGACACCAGGAGACGTTTGAGCCTGTTTTCCTTTGGACAAAAAAAGTGTCCTGCTGAAATTTTTTTGTTTGTTTGTTTGTTTGTTTTACAGTGTATTGTGTGAGGCCTAAAAACCTCACGGTCATTGATTTGAAATATTTATACAGACGTCATGTTAAAGCTGTGCTTTTAACTCTAAGGTGGTTCCAAGCTGCCCTTTTCCTCACTGAAGCACCAAAATATCTGGGCACGCCACTGATGCAAACAGCTTCCTAACATGATTATTTCAAATATGGCTTCTAATTCCAGTCATTTTACACTCATGTAGATTTAATACGGGATTCAACATTTCTAACCAAATAATAATTGTGTGACAACCATAGTTTTAATTTGTTGCTATGGTTTCAGGGTTTTCTTTTTTAACTACAGCCAAAGAAACAATTTGCATGAATAAACTCTTTCAAAGTATAGAAATGCAGAAATGCCCCTCCCCCACTTGTTGCTCCAGATAGCCTGTCAACTGGCTGAAATAAAGCTTCTCTCATTAATATATGGAAAATGGAAACTAAAGAAACACCTTCCATCAATCTTACAAACAAAATGCTGTTTCAGGCTGCCAGACATCACAGCCCGATTAACTGGCCAGCTAACTGTGAAAAACAGATAATATTCGATGCAATAAGCATTTATAATGCAACTCCAGCTGGTGTTAATACTCCCTCATTTTGCACAAAATAAATTATCATTAATCAGTATTGCCACTTTAAAAACCGTGGAAATAATTTTCTGTTTTAAATTAGCATAATGTGATCATGTTGGACTGAAATATTTGTGCAAATCTGAGTTCATCCTTTTCATAAGCCTACATACAAACCTTTAGATATAAACTCTGTAAATTGGATAAATGTATTTGACTGGGTCATGTGATGGCCCTGCAAAGTGACTCCCCTTCCTGTGAATAATGTTTGTCTAAACCAAATCAAAGTCTAAGGAATGAAGCCGTTGTGAAATGTAAAGTTTTTATTGTTATTTCTGTGATTATGTGTGATGCAGCTGGGATTGTTTAGACATCAGATGAGACATGGACTATAAATTCACATTAGGTTAGTGAAACCGCTGAACACCAACCACCCCAGAGCCGGTGGGGGGGAGCTGAGGGAGAGACCGGCTCAGTGCTACAAAGCTGCCGGACCGGGATGTTTACCAAGGATTTTTGGCTCACCAAGCCGAGAGCCTACGAAAGAAAAGAAGAAAGGCAAGACGAAAGAGGATGAAGATGAAAAAAAAAGATATTTGGCATTTCTGACTTTTCCTCAACAAACACCCGAGGGTCTAAGAGTCTCATTTAAATAAACAAAACCAAGGGGGCTGGATCAATTTGTGGACAATAAGCTTTGCCTCGGGGCCCCGTGCTCTGACGAGCTTTGAAAGTGGCGCCGGACTTTGTCTCAGTGAGTCAGAGGTAGAAATCCCATCCTTCAACAGGCTGTTGTGAAGAAATGTTCACAGGCTTCACTGGTGGCCTCGCCCGACTCTGCAAACTTTGAAGTTTGTGGAACCAGACGCAGGCTGCAAATAGGCAAATCTCCATGTACAAAATGGCCGCTAGCCACAAAGTGTGTTGAAGTGGTGAAAAAAATCAGATCCTGGTTGTGTGGAGAGGAGTTTGGCTGCAGAGATCAATGCTTGGAGCAGATTTAAGGTTGGATCGTCTGTAGGGTTCAGCAGCGTCTCTGTGCCAAAGGTCCTGATCTCTGATCACAGGTAGACAAAGATATTTCATCATCACTTCACTTTACACTCCTACTGTAAAGACTGTGCCTGTCTGTTGTAGTTGCAACATGTGGCCAGCAGATGGCAACCACAACACAAAGAAACCCCTTAAAACTGGAATGAGGAGTTTTCAAATGTTTAAAAAAAAGCCAAAAAATAAAAATATTTCCACAAATAGATTTGCTGTTTGGATATTTGATAGACATATAGTATTTCTATAGTTCATTATTTTTGTTTTATGAGCAAGGTTTGAAAATAAATTGCATTTGACAAAAGATTTGAGAATATCAAACAATCAGAAGTTTAATCTGAACTGAATTTAAAGAGATGAAGTCAGAAAATATAATCTGCTTGAGTAAAATAAAGCTTATAAAAAGTATAACTCTGATGTGCATTTTTATTCAAGGGTTGTTATAAGTACTGCTTGAAGTACTTTAGAAAACACTGATAAATCTCCTGTATTGGATCCAGTGATCAGCTGTTATGGATCTGGTGAGACTGAACCGCAGCAACAAAGAAACTAAACTCTTTGCTAACTTTCTTAGTTAGCAGAAAAACCAACATCGTCCAACTTTCATGTTTCTCAAGCGAAGCCTTTAGTATCTATTGTTCATGTCTGTTTTTCATCTGCTCACATCATTCTTGGTTCCACTTATTAAATTCCTCTTTAATCCGGTCACCTCATGCTGAGCTTCAGGCTGCTCTTCACCTGAGTCTCATGTACAAGTTTTACAACGTTTTGCCGTCAGTTGATTGTTGATGAAGATAAATTGCAGACTGTTGATCATGGTATGAAAATCATCAGTAATAATAAGGTTGTGAAAAGATATTTAATCAAAGACGGAAGAGTATGCTAACTGTCGATTTAAGCTAACTGTCGATTTAATGTGAATTCACATAAATTTACTGTAACAAAAATATAGAATGAACACCCACTGAATTAAGCTGTAATTTGTAAAGGTTAAGGCCATTTAATATTGTACATTTTTTGCAATTGTGCCCCTTCTAGAGCAGCACTTGAGGCATTCTTGCACAGCCTATCCTTGGGTGGGGCTGCTCCGGTTTGCACAACAGGATGGCTTGTCACAAATCCTTTCAGTCAAATTTTCCATTTTTTAAGGTCGGAAAAACGTAGGAGCCTTTGAGGAGCCAGTTCTTTGTGCAGCAATAGGTAAAGGAGGGGCAGTACTGTGTTACTGCATTTATTATTGGAAAATGAGAAACGCCAATGACATGAGTAACTTCTGTGGCATCTCAGCAGATGGCTTTAAGCCACTGGAAAATTGTGGTAGGCATTTTTATAAAGGTGTGTTTGATCTTTATAAACCAAACAGGATTTATAAATAATCCTGTTTGATTATAATTAGACCAGGTCTGGTTTCTGGTTTCAGTTTCCTAACTGCTAAAACTTTGCATCATCCTGCTCCTATGGTGGAAAATGATTTGATGAGGAGCCATGCAAGGCGTCAGACTGACTGGAGTTTGCTGTTGTTACACATTGAGTAACACTGTGCTGCCCCTCCCCGACCTGCTGCTGCACTGTCCAGATCAGGTGAGTGAAGTAACACTTTTCCATCATTTACAAGGAAAATAAAAACAATTGTTTATATATATACACCTATAATTATATACCTATATACATATATATATATATATATATATATATTATATATATATTATATATATATATATATATATCCAATTGCAAGCCCAGCATCAGCATGTCTGTTACATCTAGTAGAAACAGGAGTGTTAGTCGCTGCATGTAAGATAGTAACTACTCAGAACCTCCCTGAAAAGCCTGGACTGTCTCTTTAATATACTGTTTATGAGCCTTGAAACTGTTTTCATGTTTGCTATTAATCTGTACTGTGGAGCTTGATAAGAAGCTTCTCTGCAGGTTAATCTGTGTAGTTTTCAGATTTTCACATTAGATACATTTTATTTACTTTGACAAGAAACTAAAACCGGTTTCACTTTGCTGTTTGTGTTTCACCTCGGATTTGTTTGTGCATCATATCATTCTGTGTCCAAAATCATAGATTTATGTGTAAGTCATGTTATGCAAACACAGCAGCAGATAAATTAGCCTTTGCATGAAAAGCTGGGATCATTTTGAGGCTGAAAAGTATGAGATCGTACAAGAATACTACAATAGCTCTTTAAGTAATCAAAAATAACACATTGAATGATTTTAAGTGCTTTTTTAAAAATTAAGCTACAGGTGAAAACAAACATTTGATGCTTTGAAGGCCAAACTTAAAACAGATCAGGTTGAAATCATTAACACAGAAATGCAAAGTGTTTGGATTTTGGTTTGCAGCTGCATAGGCAGCAGTGAGGATTTTGTACCTGGTTGTTTCTACAGGCTGCAGAAATAAATCAACATTTTACAGAAAGTTTTCTTTTTTAAAAGATCAAGAGGAAATTTGTAGAGCTGAGGATTTGCAAAGATGTTTGTGTCCACATTTCATTATTCTTGTTAGTTCTGATTCATAAACAAAAGCCCACTCAGAGTCCATTAAAGCCCAGTTGCATAGGTTGCTTCATTGGCTTCATGTTGGATATGAACACTGTCACAGGGGAGGTATCTCTTGCTCTTCAGATTGTATAAATGAAGGACTTCAGAGTCTTAATTTCTTTGATCCCACGGCTTCCTGAAATTACCGGCTTAAACATTGTTCTGCTGTTCTCTGTCTTCCCACAGGAGACTTTCCATCCCATCCCAGACACAGAACGAGCTAGCCTAAGCCTCGCTAAGTCACTCTTAGCTCTGCCGCCACAGCTTGTGTGAGCCAATTCATGCTGAATAAGACCATGTTAATCTGGGGTTTACAACGGGACTAAGTAACTTGGTTTCTATCCTCTGTTAACCTGGAATCGCTGCGATGGCCAACTGGACTCAGAGCTGCCGCCTCCTTCTCGTTACTGTTCCCAAGACAAGCCACCAGCATGAGCCGGTGTCCAAAAATAAGACGTCAGATCCAACACCTTGCTTTGTTTCCTGTTCTCTTGGAAGTGAATAAATTCCATCAACATATTGCATTTGAGATTCATTCTTGTCATTATAAAAGGCAGCAGCTTTTGTCTCCATGCTCTGCAGGATTATTCTGTGCGAGTTCTTTAGCAAATTTTTGTAAAAATATTCAAAAATCTTCTAAAATCTAAAATAAATACATCTATCTGCACATGTTTTCTACTTGGAGTTATTTTTATTCAGACATAATGAAAGTTGCCAAAATGTGACTTGGAGATACGTTCACACTCTGACAGGCATATCGACGTAAAGTTGATGCCGACACGCGGCCGTCGTCTGCAGATTTGAGTCTGTGCTGTTTGTTTTGATGAAGACCGGAGTCATCATCAGCTGTTAGCTCATCCTGATGCATCGCAGGACTCAGAGGTTCAAATCTGACGGAAACATTTCTATTGGCTGTTTGACTCTAACAAAGTCACTTTATAAAACAAAATGCAATTTGTTTTACTTTTGACAAATGTACATTTGTTTACCCCAAAGAAAGATGGAAAGCAAATATTATCATTTACAATTATCTACATCTAGAGATTCAAGTTACTTTTTTTTTTTCTTTTTTATGCCAAAAATGGAAAACATGTTTAAAAAGCCAAATCCAAGAAAACAGCCATTTAAAACAACCCAGCACCTCTTTTTATAATCCTGACAAAGTGTCTGACATTACTCAAAGCACAGCCATAAATGCAGTTATCAGAAGCAAAGTGTGGAGTACAGTCAGAGAACACCCTGCCTGCTGCGGCGTATCTCTGCTCTCTTCAGCCCGGGTGAATGTTTTCCACAGGGAGATGGGGAGGCAGATAAGAAGCGCTCTGACGGGTCGCGGAGCCTCTTGTGACTGGGCAGTGTCAGGTGGGGTCAGCAGCACGGCCGGCCTGCGCGCTCAGGAGGAATGCAGTCGTCTTATCAGTTATAAAGGAGCTCTAGAGCCTCTGAAAGAAAAGCAAACGTCTCCGCAGGATGACAAAGATATTTTTCTTGTCCTGCTCCACTCTGGTTGGCAGATTTAAAGCTGGGCTGAAGATAAAAACTATTCCAACTGTCATGGCGGGTGTGATTTAAGACATGCTTCCATTTTATCCACGCTGCCTCCCTCTATGTTAATGTTCAATAGTCTAATGACATGCAAGCACTAAAAAACATTGCTAATCAACTATTAAAATCAGCCAGAATTAGGGTTGCCACTAGTATGATTTGTTACTTATTCACTGCAATACTTTAAAATGTATGAATTATTCAGAGTATTGCCAAAGAAGAGACTGATGTGGAAATAAAAAATGAAACAGCACTTAATTCAGACATGACTGCAACTCCGCAGGGAAGTGAATATGCTTATTATACGTTTTATTAAAATATAATAAAAGATTCTAAAACACTCCATGCTCCCTAAAAATCCCTTCTATGTATTAATCAAATGTATTATTTATAATTTTGCTTGGTTTAAACTACAAATATATTAAATCATGTACACTGTTAGATGCACATTACCAACCACACGCAGAGAGTTTATTACTAAAACATCTGAATGTTTGGATAAAGACGTACTGAAGGGAAGCAGACGGACGACATTTCCATAGTAAGAAGAAAAACTTTCTGCAGTCAGTTGTTACCGTTCATCAGTCACTCCTGGCTGCCATCTCTTCAGATTCACGTCACATTTTGTGTTCTGGTACCAAACTAAACCTTCCTTCATATTTAAATCAGTTCTAAATGAATTCTGAAAACTATTAATTTATACCAGAGTTCAAGAACGGTACAACTTTCTCCCTCCAGCTAATGGAGCACAGATGTTTACTTGAATGGAAAATGTTCTGCACCATCTAACTTTTCTACTACTAACCACGTTTTCTCAACCAATAAAAATAAAAAAACTGTTTTTAATTTTTATAAAAAATTGAACTTTAAGCTTTAAAGTTAGGAAACCGTAAAGCTTTCTTTTATTAGGGAAAAGGTATGAGCTGCAGTAATTTGTTTCATTAAATTTTGCGTGTTTAATTTATTGCTGAACAGAAAAAAATAAAGAATTCCTAATAAAAATTTTAACAAAAAAAAAACGACATTATGGCCACTTTGAACTTTGAACTTGTGGACTTTGATCTGTGGTAGAAAAAGTTTGGACGGCTCAGACAAAGTGCTGCTCACGGCGGCAGCGGGTTGCAGCAGCTCTGTCCTGATACTTTATACCCTGCAGCTGGACAATTACTCCGTCTGGCTTCAGATAATAAGCAGGTAGAAAGAATTTTGCACTTTTTATTTTACTTTTGGAAACCGTGGCAACAAGGTTTATACATCTGGCAGCAGGTGATTGAACTCTGACCCCAGTTCCTAGAGGAGGAAGGGAAAAGGAAAGCAGAGAAAAGGAGGAAGTTCAAACCGTCAGGGATCACATCGTCAACTCCAACATCTTTCTACCGAGAGATGAAGATTTAAAGAGGAGTGGCAAAAGCAAAGGATATGGCTTAGCGGCTTAACAACAATTAACTGTTATCCTGGACATGTTGCTGTGAAATGTGATCTCTGATGCCCACAAACTGAACTGATAGTATATCATGATGGTCATGAAACTGAGCAACAAATTCTTCAGTCAGAGGCCTCTTCAGATTTGCTGTGAGACTGACTGCTAGCATAGATCCTTCCTGATCCTTCCAGCAATTGAGTTATGACATTTAATTTTCTTTTGGGGCAAATAACTTGTAGTTGAATTACATTTAATTATTCTAGTCAAGGTCATGAATGACGTTGACTAAATGACTTTTGTTAAGATTTACAAAGCAGATGTAAAAAAGTAACTTTACATCTTAAAATGACGCTTTTATTTTTTACTTTCTTACTTTTGCTTCATTCCTGCTTTGAAGTAAATCCAAAAAGCCACTTTTGGAATTTTCGGCCATGATTTTGGTCAAATATTTCTAAATCTAATATTGATTATTCTTTCTGAATATTTTTAACTCAATATTAACCATATTTACCCAGATGCCAGAAAAATGTCTGGAAGCGCCACATAAAATGGCTGGAACAAAAGTCACCAAGCTGGTTGTCAGCAAAGAGAAAGTATCTTTTTTATTTTCTTGAAGAATTCTGCAGGATTTTGCATCAGCTGTGAAGTTGCTGAACTCAGAATGCCTTTTTCTCCAGGGCCATTTCTCATCTCCTAATCCCGGCTCCGTCTCCTCCTCTCCTGCTCAGAAAGCTGGGGCCAATCAGACACCTCACCGGGACGGTGATAGGGAACTGGATGAACCAATTACTGCAGCAATGGCTAAACCCTCCCTGCATACAGCCAAGTCACTAAGTCGGAGACTTGTTGCTCAGCGGGAAGCAAGTACGGGTGGATTAACGCTGCCACAAACAGCACAAAGGCCAACATGGCGGGGGCTGTGACCCCATGAGAAGGGGTCTGAACCCCTGCATGCGAGCCTCATAAAACCTCCCATAACAAGGTGGAGCAGAGCTCCATCAAGCTGAGCTGACCAGCAACTTTACGCTGCATGGACTGGCGCTGCGATGCACTCAGGTGGTCATGACCCCGTCTCCATGGCGCTGAGAGGTTGACAAACCAAAAGTAAATCCTGGAGCTCAAACAGAGCAGACTTATATATAGACTCAGTCTGCTCTCTGCTTTAAACTCCTCTCTGCTCGAATAGAACGGGGCCATGTGTGAAGTCCAGGACAAACAAATCTGTGTTTTTTGTGGCAACAGTACCAGCTGCACCTGCGCTGGATCAGGCTGATGTTAGGGCAACAAAACGAGGTCAATTCTCACACATACTGTCTACTGCAAATTTAGAAAGTTCAAAGATGTTTGCTTAAGTGAATCAGTTTTAAACTGCACTGCATCTGGAAGATGACGGCAGTCAATACTATAAAACCCCCAACATTTAAACTCTATTACTTTGTCAGCAACAGTGAAAGAAAACTTAAAAATATTTTCACCATGTTATTTATTCATTTAGTTTGCAAACTAAGTATTTAGTTAGAAAGCTAACTACTCCAAACTAGCTTCCTCACACCAAACTATATTTAGTTTGGACTTTAGAAATTCGTGGTTGGACTTTCTGAATTTTTCTAGTCACTGCATGGCTTTGACAAAATATTCCCAATAATATCTGTTTATTAAATGCCTCTCTTCAGATCCAAAACCATCAGAGCCAGAAAGAACAAATAATAAAATTACTTTTATAACACAGATACAAAAAGAGCCAACAGCTGTCTACAAGCTTGAAATTTAGATCTGTCTGCAGTTTTGTTCTTTTTACATAAACATATGTTGCATTTTAGCTCATTTTGATGATATTTGACAGAATAAGTTAACCAGTTTATCCCATATTATTGTTTATGAGAAACGAAAAAAGATCTAAATTATGGAAAACAAACTTTGCCCTGAAGATTTTGAAAACAGATTTCCTTTGTTTTAATAAGGCAAACGAGTTTCATGTTTCAGATCTAGAGCTGCAGATCCCTTTTCTAGAAATATCTGGTAAAAGTCATAAAACTACCTGTGCATTGACTTGTTATGAAACTGAACTTTTATGACCTGTGAATTCATTCACTGTGATGATTTTGGCCAATTGGGGCAAAAGTTTGGACACTACTGAACGAAATGGTCAGAATTATTTTACCCAAAAAATAAATGTACAATTCAATGAAACGTATCATTGATATCAGTGGAAGAGTTTCAAAATACATTTCTTCCAATGATGTCAATAATTGTGGGTAGTTTTGCTCAACGTATGTGCCAGTTATTGCCAAACAAAAGTTAAAAAATGGGTATATATTTTGACACTCAAGTAACATTTCATCACTTTATTTGGATGTATATGAGAAAAATTCCCTTTTTGTAATAATAGCTTTCATTCTGCTACAACCAGTTAAACATTCAGTTCAAAATATTCTGCTACATTTTATTTGTGATAATAAAACTCTGCAGACATTTTTCATGTCTTGTGCACGCCACACACTGCGCTGCTCCCAGGAGACACAGATGACACCAGACAACAGAGCACTCTAAACAAATTGCCCTTTGGCTGACCTCAGGAGACCGAACATGTAAACAACCAGAGAGATGCTTATGTTACACACATTCTCCCTCGGCCTAATGACCGTCAGGAGATAAATTGGAGGGAGACACGGTT